ATAAATAAATGGTAATTAAGCTTTCTCCATTTGGCTCCAGCCAAGCTGACCTTGGCTATCACTACAGATAGCACAGGTGTTCTTCCCATGGGAACAAGTCTCTCTCCAACTAGCACCCTGAGCCCCCCATCTGCTAGTCCTCAAACCCCAATGCTTCAGGTTTGCATTTCTTCATAGGCAATTAACAATAATGTGAGAGGGAAACTGGAACTGCACAGATTGGCCTCACATCCACAGTTACACACCCTGATAGTTCAGATATCCAGACACTGGGGAAGAGTCTACAATGGCTAAGTTTGCCAAATATGCATGGAAATCCATCATGGATCTGGAATTCTGTGCAGTCTGAGTTCCAGATCATGGAGTGAGATTATGTGCATTCAGCTCCATATTCCCCACTGCAGACACAAATGTGTTGATAGAAGAAGGCTGCAATGGGCCGGACACAGAATGGTAATAATGGGGCAGCTACAATGGCTGCATTCTCCCCATCCAACATTTGTTAATAACTTGAAGAGCAGTGTGAGAAACGAGCAGGGATGTTCAAGATGGACAGCTGTGACTAACCATGTGAAACTGCCTTGAATGACAGATCTTCCAAGGCAGCATAGCTCAGTAACAATGTTTTGCATCAGGGGGTCCCAGGTTCAATCCCTGCTATTCTCAGTCAAAGGATTAGGGAGCACATGTGTGTCAAAGATTGCTTGAGACCTGAAAGAGCTGCTGCTGATCAGAAAAGAATGTATTATTTATTTATTTATTTATTTATTTATTTATTTTATTTATATCCCGCCTATCTAGTCGATAGACCACTCTAGGCGGCTTACAGCAAAGGATGCAACAATAAAAAGAAATTATTGGACTAGCTAGATAAATAGTGTGGGTAGATGTGGGTCATGTTTGTAAGATGAGTGCTCAGGGAGTGTTTTTTTCTTTGTTCATGTCAAAACAAATCTAATAGTGCATCTCAGGTGGAAGGATCAGGTGACATGGTGCTGCTGTCAATCAGGAGATGCCCAGATGTGTTCACAGTCCTTGCATTATACTAAACAATGTGTCTACTACTACAAAGTACAAAAACTATAATTGCCACTTATATAGGTGAACTAAGGGTTCTTCCAGAGTTGTAGGGCCACTTGTTCTGGGCTCTGCACTGATTGTACTGGAATATTCCCAACATTTAAATAGCATTTTTCCTTTATAAGCTCCTACTGTTTTGCCCTGACCTTTTTCATTCTGTCAGAGGCCTTGCTTATTTTTAGTTCTCTTGTACCAGTGGGAGTTTAGCACTATGGTGGTTTCCAAGATTTTGGGGCCTTGGACTTCATAGAATTTTAGAATTTTCAGGAAGAATTTCAGGAGAGGGAAGGAATTTCCCTGGACAGCAGAGGATGGTAGCTGTCCACTGGTAAGTTCATATACATGATAAGCAAAGCACTGAAGCAGAGAAGCAATTCAGCATTAGTCTAGCCACTATTAAAATGTAACTCCCAATAAACTCCCTGAATTTCAGTCAGCTGGTCACAGAAGAGGAAAGACAAAAATATAGGCAAAATGGCCCATTTTCAGCAACCCTGAATCACAGTTCATAGTCGACCAATTCTGGAATCGCACAAATATTTTCAGTTTCCCCTCTTTCCCTTGTTAACCATACAGTCTTCTCTCCAGAATTTTAGAAGTGTTCCAATAGAAGCATACTGTAGTAGTAGTAGTAGTAGTAGTAGTAGTAGTAGTAGTAGTAGTAGTAGTAGTAGTAGTAGTAGTAGTAGTAGTAGTAGTAGTAGTAGTAGTAGTAGTAGTAGTAGTAGTAGTAGTAGTAGTAGTAGTAGTAGTAGTAGTAGTAGTAGTAGTAGTAGTAGTAGTAGTAGTAGTAGTAGTAGTAGTAGTAGTAGTAGTAGTAGTAGTAGTAGTAGTAGTAGTAGTAGTAGTAGTAGTAGTAGTAGTAGTAGTAGTAGTAGTAGTAGTAGTAGTAGTAGTAGTAGTAGTAGTAGTAGTAGTAGTAGTAGTAGTAGTAGTAGTAGTAGTAGTAGTAGTAGTAGTAGTAGTAGTAGTAGTAGTAGTAGTAGTAGTAGTAGTAGTAGTAGTAGTAGTAGTAGTAGTAGTAGTAGTAGTAGTAGTAGTAGTAGTAGTAGTAGTAGTAGTAGTAGTAGTAGTAGTAGTAGTAGTAGTAGTAGTAGTAGTAGTAGTAGTAGTAGTAGTAGTAGTAGTAGTAGTAGTAGTAGTAGTAGTAGTAGTAGTAGTAGTAGTAGTAGTAGTAGTAGTAGTAGTAGTAGTAGTAGTAGTAGTAGTAGTAGTAGTAGTAGTAGTAGTAGTAGTAGTAGTAGTAGTAGTAGTAGTAGTAGTAGTAGTAGTAGTAGTAGTAGTAGTAGTAGTAGTAGTAGTAGTAGTAGTAGTAGTAGTAGTAGTAGTAGTAGTAGTGAAAAATTCTTTTGTGATGATAAGGATTTTACAAACGGTATTGAATAGTAGTAGTAGTAGTAGTAGTAATGAAAAATTCTTTTGTGATGATAGGGATTTTACAAACGGTATTGACCCTCAAGCTGCAATCATCTCTGAAATAAGAAACTCCCTCCCTTTCAAGATTGAAGAACTGAATACATATTGTATTAAATTCCTTCCCTTACCATTCTGTAGCAATAATATGAAATAAAGATATTTCTTCCTGTCTCAACTATAACTTAAGAGGTACTTCATGTACACTAAAATGCTCCGCAAGAAGTTTTGTTGCCACCCTCCCATTTATGGTTCCAATCCGAGGCAAATTCAACAAGGATATTACAAGTTACAATTGCCAGTGTAGGGAGAGTAGTAGTGGAGGAGGTCAAACAGCCAGACTGGCTAAGGGTGTTTGGGTGTCTTGCCTGCTCCATATTTTTTTTG